AATGTGCTGAGGCCCAGAGTGTTTATGAGGTGGAGAGCGATGGAGAGTCGAGTTGGCCTGCTGTCTGTCAAAAAGCAGCAATGTCCCACAAATACCACTACACAAATAAACATTCAAAACATAACTGGCCAAATATGGTTAAGCTTAAAACTGCACAGATCTTTGAGTCTTTTCTATGTATTTGTTTTGCATCACTTGGGAAATTTTTCTGGCACTTCCTTTTATAATTATAATCCAGACGATACAAAACAAGCATTTATATGATAATAAAAAGAGCAAAGTCAATGTTTTTCTTCTAAACTTTACAAAAGCCTACTAGTAATTCCATTCGCTGAGTATCAGTATTATTGTTTTTCAGACTTACGCTTAGAGTTTTGGCCTATAGAGCCAATCCCCATCATTTCTTCACCAAGATGTTGTATAATGCTAAATGCCCTTTTTTTTTTTTACAAACCACAAAATGAGAAGCTTGTGCTCACAGTTGTCCATAAAAAGGAAGTAAAAAAAAGTAAAAAACAAAACTATAAGAGACTGATTGCATGTGTCATACTGTACATGTTGTTTGTTCCAAGGGCTCTAGAATGATATGATGGTTGGTAAAAAACAAAATGAAATTTCACGCATCACTTAATGAATATCCTGACTTTGAATGTTAGTCTTTGTGCATGACTGTGCACATTTATGAGACTATTAAAGAGGTAATTCACTTCGACGTAAGCAGAAAAATATTTTATATACATATATGCAGTCAAAATTACCTTTTTGGTTTTTTTTTTTAACAAAGATTTTGTTAGTTTTTCTCTAAACTTGAGGCAGTATTTGCTACAGTTCATGTGTTCTGCTGTAAACATTCATTCATTTTCCTTCGGCTTAGTCCCATTATTCATCAGAGGTCTCCACAGCAGAATGAACCGCCAACTTATCCAGCGTATGTTTTACACAGCGGATGCCCTTCCAGCTGCACTGGAAAACATCCATACACATTCATTCATTCACACTAGGGATGTAACGGTATCAGAATTTCACGGTACGGTAATACCTCGGTATCAATGTCACGGTACGGTATTTATTGAATCATTTACAGGAAAAAACAAAACTTATGAAAATACTCCAAAAAAGTGCCAAAAGTGTCAATGACATACAAATTAGCCATCTATCTGTAAGCTTTGAAACAGGAACTTCAATTTTAATAACAAAAAAAAATATTAAACCATGTAAAAAAAAATTTAAGTTTTTAATTTAGTATTGTTGAAAACTCATCACATTCAACATTTAATCACTCACTCACTTAGATAGAGATGGGTTTAAAGGAAAATTATCATATAAATATAATCTGGTAAAAGCTGGTATCTCTGGGCATTTACAATGTCCCCTGCAACAGAAAAAAAAACCTCTCATTTGGTACTGAGGTTTCTGGGACAAGAGAGATATGACTTATATGACTTATTTCTTGAGCGCCGAAAACGGAGCTTTTTGGAAACGCTGGAGAGGCCGTTTTCATTCTAAAACGCTGCTGCTCCGTCTCAGTGTGGATGGGGAAAGACGGAGACATCTGAAAACGGAGGCGGGGCTGCAAACGTTCGCCTATCTGATTGGGGCTTTTCCTCAATATTAAGTAGCCCACACACAGTTCAGTCTTGCATCCTCTTCTTGTAAGTTAAGACTTCGCAAGTTTGATCAAGGCTGCAGTCTCCCCCCTCCTCAGTTTGATATGGAAAACATACCGAGGACACGGGTAAATCTTCAAAGGGAACAGTGTACTTTATAAATTCATTCACATCACCCTGGCTACGTTGTTTCACTTTCTCATCAATAAAATGTAAACATGATATAAGGAACTGCCTATTTTCTTTTTAATATTAGCAACTTAATGCAGAAATGTTGAGGCGTCGTGCTGCATATATGAGCGTCATCTTCACTGTGTGCATATTTATAACAAAACGGAGCCGATAACAACTGCCTCCTTTCAATTTCAGTGAAAATACGAAACACACCCTCTCTTTTGCTGAATATCAGTTTTAATAATCGATAATTATAAAAGTATAACATACAATAAGTTTATACATTGTAGGAAATAAAGGCAAGCGATCAGTCAATGTACCTGGATTAATCATTAACTTATCTTTGCGCTTAACCAAAACATGTTACCCGTGAACAAGTAACTTAATAGATTCCAATGACCAAAGTCAGGGAATTGGCCTATGTCGTTAGATAAAGACAACAAGATGAATGAAATATCACGTTTAGCAAATATAGCGAGATCAGATCCAGCGGGAGATGCTTGATGAGCAGTCCGACAAGCAGAGCTCTCATCTGGGTAGAAATGCTGGAGCGCTTGCCCGAGAGTGTGTGTGTGGTCACGTGATGTGCGTTTTCAGCGTTTTGGTGTGGACGGAGAGCTGTTCAGAAACGCTGGGTAAAACGCGAGTGTGGACGCGGATCGTTTTCATTCTACAACGCCGTTTTAAAACTAAAATGCACTCTTGTAAAAGGGGCCTTAGAGTTTTACAGCTCTTTTTGATCCCCGCTTCTAGCAGCACACTCCATTTCCGCATTACTGGATCTGTAGCGACAACAGACCGCAAGGGATGATGGGGATTGTAGTTTTCGCTACCTCCCGTTCGCTTCATTCGCCTGAGCAAATTTTCTCAGAAGACCTATAGTTTTACCGAGTCATGCGACTTCGGTAATATCGAAAAAAATTAATATTGCGGTATGACGGTATTTACAATACCGTTACATCCCTAATTCACACACATACACTACGGCCAATTTAGTTTATTCAATTCACCTATAGCAAATGTCTTTGGACTGTGGGGGAAACCGGAGCACCTGGAGGAAACCCACGCAAACACAGGGAGAATATCTAAACACTACACAGAAAAATCAACAGACCCAGCCAGGACTCGAACCAGTGACCTTCTTGTTGTGAGGCGATAGTGCTACCACTGAGCCACCGTGTCACCCAGTGGTGGACTTCTATATTGATTAGAATTTATTCCTCTAAATAATAATATAGTTAGAATTCTATATTAAAAGATTTTTAAATGATACCTTTATCATTATTTTTATTATCCTTGGAAGGAATGGGCGTTTATTATTAAATAAGTGAGGCGACAGTGCTAACCACTGAGCCACCGTGTCACCCTGCTGTAAACATACATAAATTTGTCTAAAAAAAGTTGAGGGGACTGACTTTTAGTTCCCCAAAGAACCTTTCAGTGAACACTTTTTCATTTTTCCTTTGTATGAATTAAAACCCTTTTTGATTAATGAAATGATGACTTTTCATTTTGGGTGAACTTTCTCTTGAAGTATTAGGGCTGATTAATACTTCTGAGTCGAGCTCGGCGCATGTATGGTTCGGTGCATCCTTCGTGCAGCCGCATACCCCTTGCCGAGGCCGACGGTGATGTGCACCTTATAAAAATGAGTGAGTTTTAGCTACCATTTCATTAAGGTGCACGAAAGGGTCACAAAACACCAAAACACATTTTTTGAGATGTTGACAGTCATAAATGTGTCCCACACGGCTAAAATACTATTAGGACACATATATTTCACAATAGAGTGAAAATTGGATGTTTTTGCGTTATTTTAAGTAAATTCGTTCTTTTAGTTTAAATAGACATTTTAAAGCTATGTCACGGCGATTAGATCCTTGTGTAATTTCCAGCATGGAGACTGGATGAAAGTACTAGCGGGTACAACCTGACGTCTTTGAGTTTTCATCTTTAACTCTAGAGAAAGACTTGGTTCGAACCAATCAGTGCATTCTATTGTGAATGAGGTGCAACTTCATTAATGTGCATGATATAGCTTTAAAGATGAAGTTTCAGATGACAGAGAGACGCCACGTTGTGTTGCCAACCGTAATTAAAACAAGTGGAAGACGAAGAATTGTTTGGAGACATGGGTTGTCAGTGTTGCGTTTGAATGTGCCGCAACAAAGATTTTGTTTACATTTCCCCATTATGTGTGTAGCATGTGGACTAACATTACAGTGGTCTGCTAACACGCGACAAAAACATGTTAGTAAGGAACATTTTTTTACCCGAGAGCTTTTCGCATCTGGAAATGGTGAAATCCAGATTTGCCACTCGTCTTCGTTTAAAAAAAGACGCGGTTCCATTTGGTGTTGATTGTCCTGTCTGTATGGATTTGGTAAGTGTGTGATCATTGTTCTTTGCTTATGTTTATTCAGATGGGAAAGTTAGTATCGTCAGCAGTACTCTTTCAGTTTTTAAAGACAAACCTTAGTCAAAATTATTTAGTTACTAAGTTACAGTACATTAATATCACTACAATATTATGGACTGAAAGATCCGCTGTAAATGTTGCTCTACGAATGTAAAAACCTTAACCAAACAATTACTATTGTGTAGGAATTTCGCTGCATTTTGTGACAGGATAGTCTATACAGCTGCAGTCTATATGGCTGTTTGACGCTAATTCCTGCATCTACTGAGTGCTTCCAAGTTACCAGGATATGCAGAGGTTTTTTTTTTCTCTCATTCGACGTGCGGTACAAAAAAATCCATTAAAATTAAACTCTTCCAGCAGTTCCTTACATTCAATATCTTGTTTGTCACAGGGGGGCATGCAAGAAATGTTCCTGAATAAAAGTGAAAGTGCCAAACTGCAGTTAAAGTCGACAAATTAAGAATGAAACACCTGAAATTACATGAAACTCCGGAGGACTTGTGGATAGCGTGGTGACGCAATAACGTTAATCGAATTATGTGTAATAACATTTACAAACTTGACACAGAGGAACATAAAACCCGCTGCCAGCTGTGTTACAGAAGTGTTATTGTAGAGCAACACAAACAGCACGCAGATATATAAATGCACAACTATGAGGTAAATCAGCCTTTACATTTTGGTTGCCCTTACAAACACAGATGATTCCTCAAATCACAAGGCTTTTTACTTTTCCAAGTGATCCAACTTTCAGGGCGTGACAGGATCTATTATGAATAAACAAACAGCCCACTTACATCTCTTCTTTTTGACAAAGCATTCCCTCTTTTCAGAAGTTGGAGGGCATGGGCTCCCCATTGGAGAAGGATTCTGTAGGACCTTCCGGGTCCTTGTTTCTTCACCCCATTTGAAGCCACAGGTTTTTCCCGAGCGCGAGCAGGTGCCCCACTCGCTCCACTCGCTCACTTCACAGTGCACTAAAACACAGTGAACATTTCAGAGAAGCCACACATACAGCACCGGGTCTTGACCGCAGGTGTCTGTTAGAGACTCACCTGTCGGAATGCACTCCATTGAGTCATTTGGCTCAAATTCATCAGGACAGACATGATGGCATTGCCCTGCATGAAGGAAGTGTCCCGACACACACCTCGTACACGTGTCACTGTTCTGACACAAGTCACAGAGCGCTGGACATGCTGTGAAACACACATACACACATAGTCAGTTTAAATTTGAGCTAGTTTTACAGCAGTGAAGCTTTTAACATTTCCCCCACTGAATAATGTTGTAGCACATCTAAACTCCAATTCTAAATCAAATCTGCGTCTTTCTTAATTGTGGCATTGACAAATCTGATATTAAAATTGACGACCTTTTCACGAGTTCACACTTGCATTCGTTTAAGTATAAAGCATATTTGGCGTGCTGTCCGGGGGGAGGGCTCTGAGCTTGAGGAGACACCCTAACTCGAGTTATTCCCCTTATCAGGAAACAAAGAGGAGTTGGGATTTGAGCAAAGTATCTAGCCCGGCCCCAGAACGCTCCCCCCGGGAATGTAATGCAAGAGGTGAGGTGACGGGGTGGTGGAGGGATGCTAAAGTCGTGAGATGCTGCAGGTAAGACAGCTTTGGTATATATAGGGGTTGCTCAAGAACTGATTTGATGATGGGATAATTGTCAATGACGTATTCGATACTGAAACTTCTGCGCATGCTCCTCCCGAAATTTGTTTATAAAACATCACTTGAATCAACTGATTCACTAAAAACAAATCGTCGCCTTGGAATTATAAGGTTCTATCTAACATTTTTGTCAAAACTGAGTTACTGACATATTCCTATTAAAAGACAACTTATTTACATTATGGGATGTAGTTATTAAAGTTGTTTACATTTTAAGACTTTTTATTTAAAAAAAAAACAAATGTTTCACATATACTAATCCAGAAAAACTAACAAAAAGCACTCAGGGGTAACTCAGATATTTGGTCGGTACTCTTTGGGTAAGGAATTCATCAAAATAACAACACTAAACAGTCCAAGGCACTCGAAAAATGTGGAAAAATTAAAAAGCCTTTATTCACATGGCTAAATCTTTAAAAACCTACACGTTTCCGCAAGGATACAGTACATAGGCAAATAAAATCAAGAGAATTGTAAAAATAATTGGAACATTTTGATGAGTGACCCCCATCTCAGGGAAGTTTTACCTGTGTCCCCCTCTATTGTATTTCGAAAAGCGCCAACCATTCAAGATAAACTTGTTTGGTTGAGTGGTTAAGTCAAACAACAGGAAACTACAGATGTGGTAATTGCAATCATTGTGATAACATACTTAAGACGAACATATTTAGAGATCCATCATCAGGCCGTGAATTTAAGATTTATTCAGTTATTAATTGCAATACTACATTTGTTGTTTATCGTCTGGAATGTCTGTGCGGATGTTTTTATATAGGAATGACTTAGAGAAAGTTAAAGTTGAGATTAGCGGAGCATAAAAATGCGATACGTACATGTAATCCACAATATCCTATGCCCCTACATAATAAAAATCAAGGTCACAGCAATCCCAGTTTATTAAAAATAGTTGGTATTGAACACATTTATAATTCTACAAGAGGAGGAGACAGTATAAAAAGATTAAAACAGAGAGAGACTTTTTGGATCTATACATTAAAAGCAACCAGATTTCCAGGTTCAAATGGTGAATTAGATTTTTCTTCTTTTTTGTAAAATAGTTTTTCTATAGATGCTTTACAGATTATCGTCATATATTGTTGAATGTGCTTGTATATTCTTATATGTACATGTTTATATATGTGTATGTGTATATGTATCTGCACATGTTAATATGTGTGTTCGTATAGATTTATGTATGTACATGCCATGCTTAAGCATACTTTTCTGTACATCCTTGTTTATTAGTACTATATATATTTTTTTTCTCTCTCATATATGCAAGTGTATGTCTATGTATGGTTGTATGTCATCCCCTATCTATGCCGAATTAATGGTGATAGTTGACTTTGTTTATTAGATTGTTTGATTGTTGTTGGGGTATTTAAGTGAGTCATGTGACCGTAGAGGGGAGACTCTAGACGCGCCTGATTACTGTTGCCCTGATGAAGGCAGATCCTTGCCGAAACGCGTAGGTTTTTTAAGATTTAGACATGTGAATAAAGGCTTTTTAATTTTTCCACATTTTTTGAGTGCCTTGGACTGATTACTGTTGGTACACATATACTGTTTGCTATGAAATGCAAAAATTGTAAAGCTTAATATCTCAAAATCATTCAGAATGCAGATAGAACCTTATAATTCCAAGGTGATGAAATGTCTGATTCATTTTTTATGACTTGATCTGAATTCTAATGGCCCCTTTTTTAAAGGTGTAGCTTTTAAAGGGCTAAAGATTCATTTAAATAGTTGGTTAATTTAATCAGGCTTTCTTTGTTTTTGTAATTTTTAACTGTAGTGAATTGGTTCAGTCAAACAGTTCTGTTTCTCATATATTGTTCAATGTCAGATTCATTCTAGCAAATCAAACAATCATCCCTCAATACTGCAGCTTTTGAAAGTCCTATTAAATTTAGGTAGGTATAATCTGATATAGTGGGTGAATCGATTCATTTGGACATTCCTCTCTGTAATCTTGTATTTGAAAAAGTACAAAGGTAATACTATCAAATGTGTGTGTGTGTTTTTAAAACACATTATATTCCAAAAATGGTGTAAATTTAGACCTCATTTACACCTAGATTTAATGCAATCAACTTGTGCCTGGACTGACATAAACACTTCCTTATGTCTAAATAAATAAAACCTTAATTGTTTTCACTAGTGGGTGCAAATGAGGATAGCAAAATAATGTAAACTAATGCAGAGTTCAGACTGCATAATTTTAGCCCAGATTTTGACTTGGTGACAGGTTTTGAGAAATTGCAGACAAATGCCTGAAATCACAGGCAAATCGGTGCTTGTGCACGCGAGTGACAATCACACAGTGTGAACTATCCAAGACGCGATCTGAGAGAATCGCTGATGAGTGGCCGATGCCCGTGAGATATTTGGCATGCTAACAGGGCTGGAAGTACTCCTTTTCAGCCCTGGAATTTTAAGCCTTAGACCGACCCACCAAATGACTATATTAAAATAATTTAAATATTAATGTTTCTAATGACACTATCAAGTCTTTTTCAAGAAAACAGTTGCTTTAGAACTTCAAATGTTCACCAAACCAAACAGTATTATATGTCTTAACAAAAAAAAGAAAAAGAAAAAGAAAATAATAATTTCTCAGGTGAGGTTCGAACTCGGGTCGGTGTCGTATTTTACTGTTATTTGCAAGACTCTTTCAACCACAGTATTATGCTCTATTGATGGCTTAATCTTTTTCTCCCTTTTTAGATTTCTGATTAAGTTATTTCAGATTTATTAATGTCGTGAATTATCTGATCTTTATTGAGCAGGTGTAATATTCATAAACATGAATTATTCAAATTCTTATTTTCACTAAGGTGCCGCTGTTTGGGGTCGAATGATACTTACGTCATTATTAACCTACAGGGTGCATTTTGCTCATGGGGCTGCGAAAAAATAATGAATAACAAGAGGCTATGGTCAAATAAATAAATGAATAAAGTGCGACTGCTGAGAGTGCAAGCAGCTAGGGACACCGGCCCTCGAGGACAAAAAACGAACTGGCCCACTGGGAATTCTCCCAGTCCTCCCAATTAGCCAATCCGGGCCTGCATGATAAATATCTGGACCTGTCGGCGATTCTAATCATGCCGTGTGAAATGTGTTCTGATTGAAAATAACATCGGCGATAACCTACAACCAATGACAGAGCAGCATCCACTAGGATGGGTACCTGCAGGCCAGTAGGAGGTTGGGGGATGAGTTAAAAGTGCATTTTCAGTTTATTTGGACCCAAGAGACGAAGGAAACACTAGTGGAAATTTGGCATGAGCCCATTTGAGCAATATCACAACCGAGTCAAAAAATAAAAGATTGAAGAGAAATTGCTAATTCTCTTTAAACCCATATAAGCAAAAGCAGTACATTTTCTACCCCATTACAGGCTTCTTTCTTATTATGTAGTTAAAAACAAAATATCTACTATGTGTGCTTTGTTGTGAGGTGTAATTTGGACAAAGTTGTCAGTGATTCTTCCCATTGTAAAGTCATGCAGTGCGAAACCCTCTGTCACCAATCCATCTTGCATTTTAAACAAAGCAGCGACAAAATGCTACCCCAGATAGTCATACAGTGTGAAAACATCTGTGACGCAACTACTTTGAAAACCACACAGTCTGAACTCAGCATAATTGTGAAAAGTTTTGCCAACAAAATGTTAAAATAATTGAAAATAAACAGTTCATTTAAAAGCCAAAAATCTTTCATAAAGTAGACTAGAAAGTGATAGGAACTGAAAAGGCTGCTGCATCTTTATTTTAGGACAGAACTACTTGTGTGCTCAAAAATTTAAAGATCTGCAATGATAGATGGCCATTATGTTTTTTTCTGGAACCTGAAAATACTGGTTTCATTTTAGGCATTTTATTTCACTTGCAAATGTGTCTGTAATACTTTTTAAATAATCATATTGGTATATGTAAATACAGTTGCCATTGTGGCTAATTGTGTAAATAGTCAAACTAACAATTGTCTGAATAAATGTTCATTAATTCTAATCCATTATATCCCGGTGAAATTATTCTGAAGCAGATTAAAGGCATAGTTCACCCAAATTGACAATTCTGTCACTATTCACTCACGCTTTACCTGTTCCAAACCTGACTGAGTTTATTTTTTCTGTTGAACACAAAAGAAGATATATTGAAGAATGCTGGAAACCATCGACTTCCATAGTATTTATTTTTCTAACTGTAAAAGTAAGTAGTTAAGCAATTCCATGCAAATGTCAATCTTGCCATGAAAAATTTGAGGTTTTCACCAAAATACGGACATCCTTTTTTGTGTAAGCAAGTATTTTACAGTACTTTAGAAATTCTCAAAAATGTCTCTGTCAATGTTTTCAAACTATTATATTTGATTTACCAAAGTCACACAAGTGTCAATTTCACATCGGTCACATCCATAACGGAGGGGTTTCACATCCATGATGAAACTTTTTCCTCATCCATATATGCATGTTAAATTTTTCTCATTTAAAGTACGAAACATGTTTACAGATTGATGTTTTTCTGATCCCATAACTCTGTGGTCAGTTGTTTTGGAAAATATAAACAGATGTTTCAATATAAAGTTAACAAATACTTTCTCTATGAATTTATGTGTTGAGTTTTTACTGCATATGTCACATCCATAATGCTGGAATGGCCCAGTTACAGGTTTTTTTTATCTTTCTTCGAAATATCTTCTTTAGTTTTAAAGAACAGGAGAAAGAAATTCATAAAGCTTTGGAACCACTTGAAGTTGAGTAAATAATGAGTCAATTTTCATTTTAGGGTGAACTATCCCTTTAACAGCAAATAACTGAGTTCTTCTCATATTCTAATTACCATTTTTCTAAACTATAGCAAATAAACTGTGCTAATGTGAGAAATGTTAAAGGTGTTTGAATAATGTTTTGGTTTGGCTGTAAACTGAGCACTCACCAGCAACACACTCTTTCTTGGTATCGCTCGGCACCAGCCCATCTGGACAGCTCTCCATGCACTTGCCCTTGTGCAAGTAGGATCCTGCTCTGCAGCGCAGGCAAAAGTTCCTGTTAAAGCACGAGTCGCACTCTGACCCACACTCTGCAAGACAGGTTACACACTCATTACCACATCACCTGAACTGAGACAATGCTGAATTACACAGGCCACTCCCCATTGCTTTATTACCATAACTAAGAAATACATTCCTCTGTAGTGTAAGTGTTTCATGCAGAAACTGAGACTCTTACTTATGCAGTCGTTCCTGTCGGGGGAACGTGTGCCGTAGAAACCATTGGGGCAGGAGGCCAGGCACACTCCGATCTGCCTCATCCCGTCCCTCTCCAGGTGAATAAAAAGCTTGGGTTTGCAGGTCAGACAGCCATTGTAAACCGAGCAGGTCTGACAGCCTCCCTGGCAGCCCTGGGAGCTCACGCCTGATACCTCTGTGGCACAAACAGCATCTTCACTTTAGCATCAAATCACTTCAAAATCTAAAGATTTGGGAACTTATTTTTGCTGCTTGTTCAGTCTACTTATTTAAAATAAGCTGAGACGACATAATGAGATTTTTTGGGGACAGCTTAATTGTTTCGTGTTCAATATACTTAAATGGGTTATGTTAACTTAATCGATTAGCGTTGAGACAACATAAATACATTGTGCGGAACCCTGCATTTTGTAAAGTGTATAATAGATTTAAGGCAATTACATTTTTTTGTTTTTGTTTTGTGGAATGTGAAACTACTGGTGCCAGTTTAGGCCTTTTCTGTCACTTGTAATTGAGTTTGTAATATTTGTACACAGCAATTACCTTATTTGTATATTTAAGAATTGGCTTGTCATTACAACTGGAACTAAGAGCAAAAAGACAAACAATATTAGCTTGAAATGCAGCACATTCAGATAAATGTTTATTGTTGCCTGTAACTGGTTTTGTCCTATATAGCAATAGTTGCTTTGCTTCAAAGCTTTTATAATTCAAACTAGTTCTAACCTGGGGGCATTTCTGAAAACCATCATTAGCCAACTAAGGTCGCAAGTTCCGTCGTTACAAACATAGTTCGTTGATTTGGTGTTTCACAAATCCATCGCTCCAACGAACATTCGCAAACTGCGTCGCAAACTTGTATGCTTGCAACTACACCTCTGGAGCTGTAGTTAGAAACAAAGTTCCTGGGTGTTTTCTGTTCACAGTTACAGTATCTCCCTATGCCCTATTCACTTAGAACATTCTGATATTTAAACTTAAAATTATTATTTTTTAAAAGCATTAAAGTCATCACTTTTAGGTGTAATTTGCTTTCAAAGTATTTTTACAGTTCACAATGTTCATGTTTGCAATTTTGCTCGCTTCGCAGTGCACTTTGAAAACATTTGAAAACATTGATGTAATTTTGAACACAGCCATGGCTCTATGTGCTATAGCTATAGGTGACCTATTATTTAAAAGCGGAATTTAGGTTATGACTCCAAAGCTTGTTAAAACAAAAAAACAAACATTAATGTTTTTAATTTTTATAATAGGTTATTTATTAAGTATCTGTACTGTATATGACATGTGCCTGCTGGTTAGAACATTTCTGCAGCGGTTTGCATGAGTCAAATTGTAATAGAAGACTTTAAAAATAATAATAAAATAAAATAAACAATATCCTACTCACTAATAACAATTATTATTATTATCATTATTATTTTTTTCATCTCCTAATAAATACCAAATATTAAATTTAATTTCCTAATAAATAGCCTCATTATTTATTTATTTATATGCTTTATATTTAAAATACTATAGTTTTCTCTATAATATTTGTAAAGGAAACACATGCTCTGTACGTGCCATTTACATATATTTCTTTAAATGTGGACAACAAGTGCATGTTTTTACCAAAAGCAATATTGGATTTTTTTTAAATGTGTAAAACAATACAATTTACACAAAGAAATTATGGGGTTCTTCTCTAAAGAAGTTGTTACCACCCTGTTTAGAGCATCATTATGATAATTTTACTTTATAACTAACATGGTTCAAATGATGGATTTGTAAAAAAGAGAGACTACAGGTTTTGTGAAACACTCATCACTACATCGTTCTTTTCCTAAACAATGCCTCATACTCTGATAGTTCAGCTGTGAGTTATGTCGTTGTTTAGGAAACGCACCCCTGAATGGCTAAGCAGATTAAACTGCTTTTGTATCAGTCTGCTTGATGATTTAAGCCTAGTCAAGTAATCAGACAAAAAAAAAGTAAACAAAAAATTGTTTAATTAGTAACGAATCCTGAAAAACAATGTCGTTCATCATGACGATACCATTAATTCACATTACGATAATATACCAGCTGAAGTGTCATGATACCAAGTAGTATTTAAATACTGTCATTCATAACTCAAAATTATCAAATAAAGAAAATCAGAAACAATTTATTTCATATGTTATATGAGGCCTTCACCTAAAATGCATGTTTCTTTTTGTTTATTTTGTAGATAACTGACAAAAAAAACACATTAAAATAAAGATTCAAGTTATACTGAATGAAATTCGTTACAAAAAAGAAAATTAGACTATATGAAGTGGACAAAAATCAATTTCAATGTTTTCTGTTGTTCTTTTGGGATTGTCATCCATTGTTTTTTTTTTTTTTTTTTTTGTCTTATCAGGTAGGAATCCAAAGTAATTTAAAATTTCACTTTGTGAGTGAGTCTAGACCTAAACCCTAAAGTGCTCCACAGACTATACAAATAAAATGGTCTGTTGTTGCACAATTGTGTGAGCATTTTAGTGACTTTTCCACAAGCAACATTATGTATTGTAGATAGGCCGTTAATGACGATACTACCGTTTACAAAATACAGTGGCACCGCCAGTATTTTGGAGCCATAATATCACGATACTACCATAGTATTGGTAAACCATGCAACCCTAGTTTATCATAGTTTCCACGTTAATTTCAAAAGCACAACTTTTTTAAACATTGATAATAAGAAAAAACATTTCTTGAACACCAAATCAGCATATTAAATGGTAACTGATTGTGATAATAAGGATGTAGGATGCTCAAAATTCAGTTCTGCAAACAAAATTTTAAAATAGACACTTCATTTAAGCTGTAAAATGTAAAATGTTTCACAATAAGAGTGTATTTTCTATCAAATAAATGCAGACTGTAAATGTATGTTAAATAAAAATTGCAAATTTGAAGTCCCAGCTCCTCCCTCTCTCTCTCAAACTTTACTTTCTGTCCAATCATATTAAATGCATAACATTTTTTCTAAATCTTTTAAAAAAAAAAGTAAATAGAATTTCACTGGTCTGTATTGTATAATGATATAAAAAATCTAATTAATAGCAAAAACTGTCATTGGTCACATATTGTGAGCTAACACTAAATATATAAATGGAAACTGCTCAAGTCATGTTTCACAGTTCACATAGAAAACAACATGTCTTAACCTAATGTGTGAATTTGAACCAAACAGAAAACCTTGTTTCGTCCCCCAGCACCTATAGTTCCAACAAAACATACTTGGCATTTACGTGGACATTCTCAACATTTATAAGAGCAAACAGGAATGGTGGGTATAACTAAATGGTTCCAGGTTCACCGAAGAAAGAACAGAGCCATCAATTAAGGCTACAGCAGTGACCATAATGTAGTGTAATAATAAACACGACAGGAAGCACAGTCATCTGTGGATTCTCGCGGCAGAGAAACTAATCAACAGAGACACGTTGCATACCGGGGTTTGCACGCAAACGGCAGCACAGTAGCCTTTGTGTTCATAAGCGCGCAAACAGAGCGGCCTCACTGTCACAAAATCCCAGACAGAATCATCCCGTCTCTACTGCAGACCTCCAGCTGCGAAAACCTGCAGAAGCGGCCCACCACAAACGCTTGACGGAGGGGTTACTCAGTGTGCAAGTGACATATTTAGAAAACACTCTCACTCATCAGTTATAAAGATGACCTGTTGCATGACCTGACGGCAGACCCTGAAAATGAATAGAGATATTCCTGAGAAGTGCATTCAAAGAGTTTTCTTTGCCTGAGGGATTGTGCGTAACATCGATGCTCTATTGCCTCAATGTTTTGGCTGGGGAACTGAAGAAGTCAAAAGTGATCGAGTTCACAGTTACTGTGAGAAGAACAGAGGTTTACTGATTTAATCGTATCATACAGCGAAGTACCTCAATAAATCGAGCAGGGTGAAAAATGAGTATCGTTGAGCATCTGTGATTGGAGTCAATCAGTTCCAGGTGTCTCTGAACGCTCAGACGCTTAAAGCAGTGCTGTGTTTTAGAAGCGGATTCAGATTATCTGAATGAGGGTGATGCAGGGCAAAATGAAGATTGCTCTAACTCAAGTTCAGAGAAGAAAAATATGGCTTGTACTTTCACGGAAGTTGATATGATATGGCTTGAAAGCATGCTGAGAATTTCTACAACCATCAGCAAATTTAAACAGTAAGGCAGCGCTTAAGAAAGTACTGGAAATGATGGTCACTAACATCATTTTAACAGACTTAAAATAATGATAAAAGACATCATAAAAATAAATCCTAGTAGTTTGATTAAACAACAATTTCACCAAGTAACAGCACATCTTAACAGTGGTGTAAAGAGTACTGAAAATTCACACTCAAGTAAAAGTACCATTACTTGCCCAAAAATTTAGTCGAGTAGAGTAAATATTACTCAAAGTATGAGTAAAAAGTTAACATTTTAAAAGTACTCAAGAGTAGTGAGTGGTGAGTATTAAGCTGTGAAAATCTGATGTCATTTGTGCTTGTGTGTGTAAACGTAACATTCTGTAGTGTATGTAGTCATTGACTATTTGGTGATTTAATTTACTGTCCTCATACAGTAAACATCCGCCATCTTCTCATCAGCTACATGCATCTAAACAGTCTCTGGGTCATTGCGTGTAAAGATTTTGGACATGATTCCAAGTGGTTTACTGCATTTATAAAGCACCCATGTCTTGAGGTAGCTCAGTATGATGTGATGTACTGTCTATGTGTGATTCGATTGGACAGGAATCACAAGACTGATTTTTCTACTCAGCCAACCCCCATAGACAGGAAAAAATAAAGTAGTGACTGCAGGTTGAAGGAAAGTAGTGGAGTAAAAGTACCGATACTGCACTAAAAATGTACTCAAGGAAATGCAAAGGTACACATTTTAAAACGACTTAGGAAATTGCAATTCCTGAGAAAAACTACTCAATTACAGTAATTGGGGTTTTTGTAATTTGTTACTTTACACCACTGCATTTTAACTACACAAACCTTATCTTATTGTTAAAAATGTTGGTGACTGAAAGTTTTTTTTTTCAAGAAGTTTTTTTTGTTTATGCAAGATGACCAAAAATACTGTAAAACAGTAAAGTTAATAAAAATAACTGAGAATAACAGATTTTTTTAGCATCATTAATCCAGTGTAAATG